TTTCCGGGTGAAAAATTATATCAATCAAACACACTTAATTAACAATTCCCTGAAAAAATATATTTCTAGGCAATTACTTTCCTTGGAATTTATTTTCCTTCCACCCATTTTCCACAATTGCAATCAAATGGACCTAAAAGGTGTGTAAAACTCTGATATATCCTTCATTATCCCTGACAATACTACCTACCAGAGTCCAAAAACCGTGCATCCATTCAAGATTTGCTACCTCGACAAAATTGGTTTTTCGAAAGCTCCCATAAGGTTGTCCTTGCACTTTAAAGGACAGGCATTGGTACTTGTCTTTCCTTGACTTCTTGGAGGACACATTCATTATCATGATTTCTTGCCACTGATCAATTCGCTAAACTTGAAAATCTAAAGGATAAACGAGTACATCTTTCTTCAACCTCTTGAGGATATTTGAATTTCAGTTAGATTCAGAGCTTCAAAGTTTTGGTCTTCCCTTCTCAAACTATTGCATAGCAGGTAGGATTGCATTTTCGTAAGCCTTCTCTTGCATTAGAGGGAGAAGCTTATCCTGTAGCACCGTGTAAATCTTCTCCATTTCAGGATGAGATCTGTCACCCACCAAAAATACATGACTTTTCCCATTTACTTCTATTTGACTAAAACCAGGCACTTTTGTCACTTTCCTCTCTTTCATTTTTTTTCTTAATTGTGCAAACTTGTTCCATTTCCCACAGGCAGCATACATATTTGCCAAAAGCACATACCCTCCTGAACTAGCAGGCTCAAGTTCTAATAGCTCATCACCTATGTAGTCCGCAAGTCCAACATCTCCATGCAACTTGCAGGCACCAAGTAACGCCCCAAGAACGGTACCATCACATTCACCCGGAGGCATTTGATGGACCACTTTCACAGCCTCATCTACCAGCCCAGCTCGTCCTAGGATGTCGGTGAGGCAAGAATAGTGCTCAGCCTTCGGTTCCAAACCATAAGCACACCTCATGGAGTCAAAAAGCATTTGACCTTTCTTAACAAGGCCAGCATGACTACAGGCTGACAAGACTCCCACAAAAGTAATTTCATCCGGTTTGTTTCCTGATCTTAGCATCCGTGCAAATGTTTCTAGTGCTCTGTTACCATAACCATGATTGGAATAAGCTAATATCATTGAAGTCCATGACACGATGTCCTTTGCCTCAAGATTATCAAAAGCAATTTGAGCAGAGCGAACATCTCCACTTCTATAATACATGGTGATCAGAGCATTAGTAAGATATGTGTCTAGCTCAAACCCAAGCTGCACAACAAGCCCATGTGCTTGGGACACTCCTAAAGTACTTTCACAAGAGATCAGGAGACTAGTAAGAGTTTTTTCATTTGGCCACATGCAGCTGCGAAACATCAGGACAAAGTGCTTGAAAGCTTCATTCTCTTGACAATTTTTGGCATACCCATCAATCATCGCATTCCACGTCACAAAGTTTTTAGTAGGCATCAAATCAAAAAGCTCACTAGCCTTGACCATTTGGCCTTCATCAGCATATGCCGTAATCATTGCGTTCCATGCAGCAATATCCTTATTTGGCATTTGATCAAAATATATCCTCGCCAACTCAATCATCCCATTTCGTGCAAGACCCATAACCATTGTAGTCCAAGAAACAACATTCTTCCAAGGCATCGAATCAAACAGTTTCTTTGCTTCATTTACTCTGTTACCATCCAAACAACCCTTAATTATAACATTCCAAGAATACAAGTTAGGTTGAGGCATCATGTAAAAGATTTCAAGTGCCTTGTCAACTTGGTTATTCCCAAAATAAGCACTTATCATTGCAGTCCATGCAACCACGTTTTTTGCAGGCATTTGATCAAAAGCATCCCGAGCTTCGTTAATCAACCCATTTCGAGCATAACCTAAAATTACATTAGTCCAAGTGACCACATTTTTTTCCCTTTCGGGCATTTTATAAAAAAGCTCTCGAGCATCATCAACCTTTCCAATTCTAAAATACCCTGATATCAAACTGGTCCAAGAGAATGCATTCCTTGCTGGCATTTGATCGAAGATTTTCTGTGCTTCATCAATTTTACCAGCCTCGACATAAGCATGAATCATTGCAGAATCAGCCACAATGTTTCTTTTACTATCCGGAATTTCTCGGAAAATCCCTTCTGCTTTGTGAAAGTCGTTGTTTTTGAGATAAAGGGCGATCATGGAAGAATAAGAAACAGCGTCTCGTTCAGTCATTTCGCCGAACAATTTACGGGCTGCATTTACTTTTCCTAAACGACCCAATTCACTCATTCGAACATTACATTCGTACGTTAAATTTGAATTTGAGAAAATGCTTGAATAATCTCGGTTTGCAAATTTGGAGGAGATTTCATTGCGTAAAGAAGGGTTATTGTACGAAGTGGCGGTGCCGGTTGTGTAGAGGACATGATGGTAGATATATTGTTCTGGGCATCGTAAGAAGAAAACGCAATGCCGAAGTAGAAGAATTTTTTTCGTTGCCGTGTTCAGTTTGTCTGATATGCTGCTTACCATTATCCCCAGTCACGGCGGCGCGTGGAGTTTCGCACGGAAGACTATGTAGAGGAGTACATATTTTGCGGGAGGGATGGTTTGGTTGCTGGTTTAATTGCTACGTAGAGGAGTACATATTTTGCGGGAGGGATGGTTTGGTTGCTGGTTTAATTGCGATTAGAGCTTGTTTGAAAGGAATTTTAATCCAATTAAAATTAAAAATATAGTCGTTATTGAGTCACACTCATCTAATAAAAGTCAATAATAACGGCTAATTTTTCAATTTTAATCCAATTTTAATCTCTACCACACAAGCTCAAAAATTCAAATTTTAATCAACAATTAATTTTAACCACATATTTTATGGGTCTCAATATTTTTCAATCATCCATTTCATCCATTTTTATTAAAAAAAATTAAAAAGCTGAAGGGGTTAAATTCACATTAATGTTACCGAAAAAATTAAAACTTAGAAAGTCATAGCTGTGCACATGGATATGCGGGATGGAGCTAGTCCCTCATTAGCTGAGTTTGCCCGAGAGGCAAGTCGAGTTGGGAGTTTTTCATGCTACTCACTTATCCGTTCGTGCATATTGACTCGTCGGATCATTCAAAAATCTAGACAAAAAATTCATTTTTATTTGAACGAAAAGAAATGTGTGCAAGACCGCCTTGTGATGAGCTGATAAAACTAGTCAAGCCTCATTTTCTTCAAGACCCGTGCTTGGATCCCGCAAAGTGAGCATGAGCTGGCTCGCTTGGCGGTTCAGTCCATTTAACATCCATGTGCTATTCAACTCTTGATGGGTACTCAATCTACTTAACCCTTGTTTGATTCTCATTATTTTCAAAATATATTTTTATTTATTTTCTTTTCAATCGATCATTTTCAATAAAATAAAAATAATGTTATTTATCATTATGATGATGAAATATCAGTGATGTGACTGGAATAATGAGATTGTACAGTTTAATTTTTATGAAAGAGAAGGAAGGAGAGAGAGAAATGTGAAAGATAATGGATTCCACATAATCGATTTTTTATCATTGTGTTTGTTCACGTGAAACCCGCAAGCGTACGAGATCGTTGTACAAGTAATAAAATATGTGAGTTAAGAGTATCGTTCCCACGAGGAATAAGGTCTAATTTGTAGTTCAATAGCTACTATTAAATTCGAAGTATGATGACATAAGAGTTGTGATTTATTTGTTATTTATTCTATTTCTACTCTAAGAAAGTGATAAAAAAATGATTAAACCTAATGTGAATGCTTGTATTGGATTCATGTATCCCCCTATTTCAACTTATTTCAATTCTCAATAATCATTCTATTCAATTTATACATTTTTGACAATCGATAAAGCTAATATATTAAATGTTCTTTCCCAAGATACACCAACCTATGACTAACACGAGACGATCCTATTCCTAATCCGAATTCATATGAAAGTCATGCATTTGGTTTAGATTATCAATAAGATTGCACGTGTAAAAGAGATTATTCCTAATTATAACTACAAATGTCGATTTTACCGCGTTCTAAACTTATTGTGAGTATTCATACTCTACAACAATCAACTAACTACTTAATTGGTGATCAAGCAATAAGTAGTGCAATGGTTATGTAAAATCAATCAAATAATAACACAAAAATACTAAACTGATATCTTGAATTAAAATAAATAAATATAGGGTTTGGCAAGTGTATTTTCTACACTTATTCGGAGCTTGAAACTATAGAGTTTTATTGTTCTTTTGACAAAATATGACCTAAATTGTGTCATATTATATCTTGTAGGTAAAACTCGATATTTGATGAATAATTGGAGAAAAGAAGCAAAATGTAGCGAAA